ACAGGCTACAGCAGGCTTCTAGACTCTCACAGAGACTACACCTGGCATTTGCTCATCTCTTGAGTAATATGATCCCATTTGGACAGTGATTGTTTACAACTGGTCCTTTGTGAAGAGTTAAAAAAGAGATGATGGACCTATAGAAGAATGCATGAATAATTGAAAAACCACACATTACAAAAATATCTCACTCAGGGCAATGGTTTCACAAGTTCTCTTTCCTTCAAAAGTGGACCAGAACACACATTATCTTTTCTCTGTCCTACTCATTGTCTGGTGGGAGATCGTAGAGCTATAAAATAGACAGGGTTCAATAATTCAAATGCTGTAGTCCAAATTCTATATAATCACTCTGTACATAATACAATCACTGATATCCTCCACCAGTCAATAAACATTTTCATTACACAAAAACTCCAGAAAACAATACAGTATAGACCCCACCATTAGAAGTGACTATCTATTTGGAGAGATGTTATCAACATGGGATAAACGATTGCAGCGTGCAATTCTACTGGCAGTCAGAATTCACAAAGGTGAACAAGATGGCTGTGGGCCAGTGTAGACATTTGAGTTAGGCATTGGAAGCATATTTTTTTACTTCAATATGAAGGAACTATTGACTTACGAGTTCCTGCATGCCTATTCCTAGTCATGTGCTTACTCGGTGGAACCATAAAACCAAAGCCAGGAATTTAAAGTCGCCACATAGGAAATATTTCCTCATATCAGAAATATGTGCTATTACGGGCTTCTTCTATGCTTCAGCTTTATTTGGAAAGTACAGTGTTAGTGGGGGTGAGTGGCATTGAGTCGTGTTGTGACTTTCCACATGTTCAATGCGCCAGGTGGAAAGAGTTCATGTGTTGGACACCTGCAAAATAGTAGACAACATGCTGAGCATTTTCTTGAGAAGCCATCGTTTTCTCCTGATAACAACTATCTATGGTGTTGCACAGCTAGGACAACATGTCAAGGCCAGAATGCTCGTCTCTAAAGCGGGAGCCCTTTGTAGAACCTCATGCTGTCTCTTCTGTACCACCTACTGGTCTATCAACATTTGAGCTGCCTGGTAGAACTAAAGAGCAGAGCAAACTAACTGAAGACACACTACATTCCAGCTTTTATTTGGTCCAGCTGCAGATTCTTGCAAATGTACATAATCTAACTGAATAATTTCCCCAAATCTATATAACAGTACTATTAACTCCCCTACACTATAGAAATACAAGATTCACCATCCACATGTGCACACACAGACACATAGTCACATACACTTCACACACACACACACAACTGCCACTTTCCCCACATCACACCATATACACACAGAATGATCCTTTGATTCTTTTTATTCTTCTTTCTGAAACCGTTCAACTTCAGGGAAATGGGGAAACATACAGCTGATTACTTGACAATTGAGGTAGTTAAGCCTGACTGGCTCTAAAATGTCCTGATGTCTTGAAGACGTGTCTTCTTAATTGGCTTCACATTATTAATTTTGTAGACAAGATGCCTGCAAAGAAATTGTCATATTTTTCCATGGCTGTTCTTAAAAAAGAATGATAAAGTACAGGCTATAAAGAGAATCAAATCCTGGGACATTGGAACCAGCCCACAAGTCCACCCTCATTTCTGCTCTGGGTTGTTGTGTCCTCTCTTAGGATACATCCCACAAAAACAAGTATTTTCTCAAGCCTCTGACAAAGAGTGAGTCATTGTGTTATGAAAAACCCTTTCTTGAAGGCAAGAGCAGCTATGGCTTTGGGGCTGGGGATGTGGATAGAGGAGCCACATACCAATAGATTCATATGTACTAATCAGACCTGAGACCGAATGAACTTGCACCTGAAACTACAAGGCAGACTGGTAGGATGAAGACTGAGAATACAGAACTGGGATCCTTCAAGCTCCTTCATTTTTTCTATCATCTCACCAAAATTTATAAAGTGATATAATGTACTCTTGGTTTCTACAGACTTTTGATCCTTTCACCTCAAAAGTCTCAAAAGTTTTTCTTTATTGATAAAAGCAAGCACTAGGTGTGAGTTGCAGCTCCAAACTTTCTGCAGCATAATTAATTTATACTGTCGGATTTAAACTCACTTATTCTGTGGAAGATCTTTTTTTGCCCCTCTTCTGAGGTCAGGCGCACATCCACTCTGTGTTCCAGACATTTTTTTTTTGCAGACATTTTGCAAGAGGTAAGTCTGTCACAGGATGAAATTTGAGACTCAAAGGGATCCCTGATACTTAAAGGGATTTATGTGGCAGGAGAGAACCGGCACCCTCTGCTAGGGATGGACTACATACAGGGCTCCCACATCCAAGCTGGGTGTTCCAATCTCTGGCCTCTTAGGACTGACTTGGATTTCCGAGTCTGATCCTTGTGGAAAGTGAATGTATTATAACTCTAACATAGGAGGGAACATTAATATTTATAATATTATCACAAGATCAAAACTTCCTTTCAGATGCTTCCAAATTTCTATTCACTCTGAATTTACTTATAAACTAAATTTCTCTTTCTTTCTTACTTAGCCTGCGTGGGGAACCAAGAGGGTGATGGTGCTAACACTACGTAATATGTAAGCAAGCTCAAGAACTATTTTTTGAGAAAATGAAAAAAATGGAAATAAAGTGGTTGTAAATGGGGAGGGGAGGAGGGGGTGAAGGGAGGGCAGTGACAAGGGAAAAAATAAGAACCAAGACCTGTCATGTAAAGGTACAAGATCCAAATAATGAATGTAACTGTACTGTATACCTAAAATGTACCAATAAACTCAATTTAAAAAGTAATAATTTCTAGTATCTTTCCCAGATGATTGCCATTTTCTGAGAACTTTTCTACAGACAATAGAGTTGCTCAAACTAAATGCTTCTGAAAACTGTAGGCCAGCAGGGAAGGAGTCTGGAGATATTGTGGTGCACTTCAAATTTTACCATATAAACATTTTACCTATGGGTAGGCCAAGTGTGAGTTTATGTACACAGAAAGCAGAAGAGAAAAACATCTCATTAATCTCTATGTTGAAGGCTTGTAAAAAAAAAAAAAAAAATCCTCACTGAGCATTTAAATGATTCCTTCTACTGAATGCTAAGTAAGAAGAAATCAGCCTACTTTTTTATGGTCTTTGCTTCTAATTTACATCACAGGCTACATTGCAGGCTTCTAGACTCTCACAGAGACTACACCTGGCATTTGCTCATCTCTTGAGTAATATGATCCCATTTGGACAGTGATTGTTTACAACTGGTCCTTTGTGAAGAGTTAAAAAAGAGATGATGGACCTAGATCACTAAAATGGGCAATCGGCAGCCTCCGGGAATGGAGCAACGTGGCCTCTTTGTTGGCTTTGAAGGCTGACATTGAAATACGATGGCGCGGCACCCTTCAAAAGATAGCGTCTCACCTCCTTGCTGATGCTCAGATGCCTGTAGATGGGACCAGCCTGGAATGTGCCACACAGAACCGACAGGTTCAAATAGAAGTGTTGTGAGAAGGAAGTAAAATGATATTACACGATGACAAGCACCGACAGACTAGTAGGGCACTCTGGTTGGGAAACGTGACTGGCCGAAGTGAAACAATCAGGGGACAATGGAAGAAAACCTCAAAACACTTGTCAGATTATATGGCAATACAGACTATACACTTAAACAGATATGTTAGACAGCTTTGCTTAGTATATGGAATTTAAGGTAAGTTCTAATCTTAAAACTGAAATATTTTCTGGACAGAGAAAGTTGGCTTATGCTGGACAAGCGCAAGTCAATACGTGCAAACTCTACTTTTCCTCAGTCTATTAATTCAGCAAATAAATGAGAAGCCTGTACAGGGAGAGCAGCTTTGCAGAGGAGTGAGTGTTCTAAATGGAAGGAAAGCACAGAAGCCCAGGAAAAACGAGAGATGATTAGGAATATAAAGTAAAGAAAAGGGATCATAAAAATTGTCTTTCCTTCTACTAAACAAATGTGTACCACAGATCTACTTTTCAAAATGGTATCGAAAAGATCATTGATCCTATTTGTAAACAAGCAGTAAGACAGCAGCGAACCAAGATAAAATTTTCCTTCTTAGCACCTTGCAGATTCTTACCCCACAGTTATGACAACATTATAGTTCTATACTCTATTTATAAGCTGTACTAGGTAAATAGCCACACAGCACTTTGAATTTAAATATCTCAGCTAGATTTCTTTTTCTTCTTTCTTTCTTTTTTGGTACCGGGGATCGAACTCGCTACCTTGTGCCTGCAAGGCAGGTTGTCGCAAAAACAATGAGCTAAATCTCGGGCCCTCAGCTAGATTTATAAAACTAAGATGTTTTCAGATAAGAGCTTGAAACAGTATAAAATAAGAAGATTTTTCTTTATAGTCGTGTGGGATAGTAGAAAGTTTAAGAACTAGAGTCAAAAGATTAGCTTCAAGGCCCTGTGGTACCAATCTGACTATGACCTTAGGCGAATTACTAATTATTTCTAAACTTCAGCTCCTTACCTAGAGAAAAGAATCCAAATAGCAAGGTTATTATGAGAACAAAATAAGATATTGTGGCAAAGCACTGTATAAAACGTTAGACCGGTAGAAATATTATCATTGTCTTTGTAATAACAGAATGGTGTATGATGCTATATATTATTCTATCCTTCATTTTTATTTAAATTTTTGTTTATATTTATTTGTTCTAATACTGGGGATTGAACCCAGGGCCTTCACATTGAGGTACAACCCTAATCCTGTTTTGGCTTTTATTTTATTTTCATTTTATGTTGACTCAGAGTCTCACTAAGTCACTAAATTGCCCAACGTGGCCTCACACTTGTGATCCTCCTGCCTCAGCTTGCCAGAGTGCTGGGATTACAGGCATGCATGACTGCACCTGGCCAATTTTAGTTTTTAGATTTGTCATTGTTCAGCACAAGGTTTGGTACACTGTAGATAATGGAAGTGTGTGGATCAAAATAATGAATAAAAAGTCAATGCTTCTGACCATCTTGATAGGACGTATGCTTCGAATTACTTTTCACTTTTCATTGTCATTGTTCAGCACAAGGTTTGGTACCCTGTAGATAATGGAAGTGTGTGGATCAAAATAATGAATAAAAAGTCAATGCTTCTGACCATCTTGATAGGACGTATGCTTCGAATTACTTTTCTGTGAGTAGTGAAGAATCTTTGTTCAAGTGGTTATTTACCATGTATAGTCTCAGCAGTGCTTTTGTCTTCTTCTGTGCAGCACACCATTTGGCCATTGCGGGAATCAAGTTCACGTCCTTGGTGTCTCAGACAGCAGCCTGCTCTAACCAAGAAAATGAATCAGCTCCAACTAAAGAGAACAAGATGACAGTGTGTACTGAGCCCAGACCTGCAGGCTGATTGTTCGGGCCTAAGAGGCCCATTTTATAGGTGACGAGTAAGAAGGAAGAGGCCAGATTTGTGTCTCTGTAAGGAAAACAAAGATAATGAGCTCACACTTTCACCTCCACCCATCAAAACAGTGAGTTAGGCAATCACGGAACAGTGCTTTCCTTCTAGAGTCCCTGGTATATAGACTTCGAGACATATCGTTCCCCTCACTTCACTAAATTTTCACCTCTGCGTAACGCACACAGACATATGGGTAAATCAACAACAACCCTCGAGGAAGCTGTAACCACCCAGCATGCACATTTTACAACTCTTTCAACCTGCTTCCAATCCTGCCCATCCCCGACACGAACCAAGTTTGAATGCCCAAGCTTGTCACCTGGTATACAAAAATGCAGTCTAACACTGTATTTATTAGCAACCCCTTCCCTTATGTTTAATTTATTGTTACATTTTTTAAATGTACAAACAGTTATACCAGTTTTATACACAAAACCACAGGTACCGTTTTGTATCTGTCAAAATTCCAGCAGCCTGTGGAGAGAGACGGCCCAATAGATGTCCTATGCTGCCATCTAGTGCTCTCGCTCCCGCATGAGCTCGTTCATGTTTCTGGGAAAGAGAAAACAAAGGCAGGCAGCTCAAGGCACCGAAATTCTGGAACAGCCACGGATATGCATTATTAAACAGATGCATTTATGACACTTGGACCATATTCCCTGGAACCAAGCAACTTAACTTGTTTTCACACAACGGCAGCTTACATCCCTGCTCTCGACTGGCAAAACTCTGGCCTTCTACCCTGGAGGCACCTGGTTTCTATCCAAACTGACTGGGCAAACAAAATGCCCCTCCGGGCCTCTTTCTGCAGCTCCCATCTGGCGGAGGTTCTCTTGGCAGATCTCTTCCTCCTGGAGGGACAGTTTGATCTGAGTGCCTTGCCTACTACTTTAGTTTTGGTAGAAGGTACAAAGGAGTCAGACAGTTAAAAAAAAAAAAAGAAAGAAAGAAAGAAAGAAAGAAAGAAAGAAAGAAAGAAAGAAAGAAAGAAAGAAAGAAAGAAAGAAAGAAAGAAAGAAACCATTATTTTTAAAATTGGCTAAAACAGCAGCCATTTTCTTTGCAGTAGCCAAATGCGAAGCTCCTGAATTTCTTTTTCCTGAATTTCTTTTTCCTGAATTTCTTTTTCCTGAGCTTATATGATTTGTATTCCTACTTAGATCTTGGTCTGCCTCTGAATCTGCCCCTTTATCTTTTCCTGGATCTCAAGAATATCCTTCTTCTCAATCAGCATGTCTTTCTATCGCAATGTGCTTGCTTAAAAGCACTGTATCAGACACTAGCTAGTGGGTGATGAAAAAGAAAACAACCTTTCCCTCTGTGTCTAGATTGCTTCCTGCCTCTGACCTCTCTCTCTCCTTTCTATATTTTTAACCCTTTCCTCACGGTGCTTCTTTGGCTGTTCCTGCAACTATATGCAAGCTTCTCTTCTAGCTAAAATACTGTAATGTAATTATTTCACTTGACCCCTTTGTACAGTCCTGCTTTCAACAAACCGGTACCTTCTGCAGTGGTATCTTTTTATATTTTATCTCATTGAAATGCAAAAAACCACTGACCCAGGGTGCTATTGTCCAAATATCAAATGGACCGCTCAACAAATTAGGGGGTTACTTTCACTAAGTCCAAGTGAATATCTGTGAGGCTGGCAGTTCCTGACTGATTTCTCAAATGCCAGAAAAGAGACGACTTCTAACTTCCTCCCCCATTTGCGTTTGCCCTTTTAAAACACAGTTTTATTACAATCTCCATCCACTTCTCCAGTCACTCTCTACTGTTGCCTGAAACAGACTTGGAAAGCAGGTCTCTTAAGGGATGTGAGTTGTGAGCCCAAATCTTACTCTCAGTGTTGCTAGACCCAAAAAACTATTTTCTTGCCTGTGAATTCATGAGTATTCAAGAGGAAGTGAGCCTCCCCACAAGGGGGCGTTCCGTTTCCCCTTCTTGAGTTCACTGCCTCACTTCTATTCCACGTGCTTATCTCACCTCATTCTCTATTCCGTTGTCCTTCAGATGCCTCATCGTCTCCCGTCTTTCCTGACTGACTATGTCTAAGGGACTTTATCTAAGTTTGGTTTGTGTCCATGCTACATTTGTGACTTTGCAAGTACATCCACTCACCTCCGCTGTCTCTTCACACAGAGCTTCGCGATCGCCGCGGCAGTGACGATGACGGTGGTGGTGATGATTTGCTCCTAGGGTTCCACTTCCCCAGACGCTGCTCACAAATCTCCCATATCTACTGTGACTTTTCCAGCTCTTTCGACTCCCACTACCATTTACCCTTGCAACAAAATAGTTCTTAGTTGCCCTGTTAGTGCTAGTAAATTCGGGGCTCATGACTCTCAGCCTTAAACCCACTGCTTCCCAAGTCTGTCCACTGCTATCAATGGCAACACGCTCAGTCTTCCACTGAGTCCAGTACCTTAGATTCATATGGAGTTTATCTTCCTTTTCTTTTACTCCCAATTCTCTCTTTTTCCTTCCTTCCATCCTCTCTCCCTCCACCCCCTGCTTAAATAAAGTAATTTTTAAATTTTGCACCTAATTCATATTAGCTGTACAGATACATGGGTTTGTCCCTTCCATACATACATACATTATGGTTTTTTTTTTTCTAATCTACCCTCCCTGTACTGTTTCTTACAGCCCTACACACACACTGCTTGGTCCCCTTTCCCTCCCTTTTTAGTCCCACTTCTACTTTCTCATCATCTTTAAATTTTTTAGACTCCACTTACAAGACTCCACTTATAATGCTTGTGTTTCCATGTTTGTCTTATTTTGCTTAATATGATGGTCTTCCATCCCATCCTTCTGCAAATAGGCTTGCATTCTTCTTTGTGCTTAAATAATATTCCATTGTGTAGATATACTGCATTTACTTTTTTCATTTATCTGATGTTGGGCATCTAGGCTGATTCTATAACTTGGCTACTGTGAGTGGTTTTGCATTTAATAGGTATTCAGGCTATCTCTTTTGTACACTGACTTTACTTTGGGGAGTATATATGACAAGGAGTGGTATCACTAGGTCATAAAGTAGCTCTAGTCTTAGATTTTAGAGTGTACTAGAGTGACTTTTGCCCAACATCCTTATGAGCATTTGTAGGTTTGTTTGTTTTGTTTTGTTTGGAGAGTTATTTGGGGGTTTTTGTTGTTGATGATGATGATATTGTTGCTGTTTGGCATTTTGAAAATAGCCAATTTGACTGGAATGACATAGTCTCTCGATTTAATTTTGATTTGCATTTGCATAACAAAAACAGTTGAGTATTTTTCATACATCTATTGACCATTTGTGCTTCTTTTAAGGCATATCTGTTCAAATTATTTGCCCTCTTATTGATTGCTCTGTTGCTAATTTTTTGCGTTCTTTTGAAATTCTGGACATAACCCTCTGTCAGATGTATAGATGGCAAAGATTTTCTTCCATTCTATAGGTTGTCTCTTCACTATGTTGTTTCTTAATGTTGTTGTTTTACAGAAGCTTTTTAATTTTATGTAATACCAGTTGTTATTTATTTCTTCTATTTCCTGATATCTTAAAGTTCTATTCAGGAAAATTTCACCTGTGCCAATATCTTGAAGTGTTTCTTCTGTGTTTTCTACTAGTATTTTAAAAGTTTCATGTATTGCACTTAGGTCCTTAATCCAGTTTGAGTTGACTTTTATACAGAGTAAGAGATAAAGATCTATTTCAATCTTCTATATGTACATATCCAATTTCTTCAATATCATTTGTTGAAGGGGATGTCTTTTCTCCAACAATTTTTGGAGGGTACTTTTGTCTAGAATTGGATGATTATAAATGTGTGGTTTTATTTCTGGGTCCTCTATTCTATTCTATCAGTCTACATTTCTGTTTCTATGCCAACAATATCCTAGTTTTCTTACTTTATTTTGAAGTTGGTCTTTGTTTATGTTTTGGGTTTCTCACATAAGAGAAACTATTTCATATTTAAGCTTGTGTGTTTGATTTATTTTGCTTAACATTATAGTCTTAAGGTGTATTCATCTTCCCATAAATAATTGGAGTCTATCCTTCTTTATGACATAGTAGTACTCTATCGTGTATAAATACCATATTCATTATCCATTCATCTATTGATGGACATATAGGCCATGTCCGAGAATCAACTATTTTGAATTATGCTACTGTGAGCATGGGTATGCCCTTATTCCTATGATATGGTGTCTTTAACTCTTTTAGGAAGAAAGCTAGAATGGGGATAGCTGAGTCAAATGAAATTTCTAGTTTTGAGGAATTTTTATACTGATTTCCCAGTGGTTTTACTAGTTTATAATCCCAACAACAATGTAAAAGCGTTCCTCTTTCCCTGTAACCTTACCAGCATTTGTTATTATTTGATTTCTTGATAACCATTCTCTGAAGTAAGATGGAACCTCAAAATGGAGATAGGTTTTCATGAAAGGCAAAGGGACCAGGAGATGGAGAGAGTGGGAGGAAGAGGAGGAGATGGAGATGAAAAAAGAATTAGGACGTGGTATGCACCTGTACCAACTCCCCACAAGAAATGTAATCTTAACGTATTGCAAACATGCACTGATAAAAATAAAAATTGAACAAAGCATAAATTGAGCATTGCTATGCCTCCAGCATTGATGTTTTTATTTAGGATTACTTTGGCTATTTGAAGTGTTTTGTGCTTCCATATGAAATTTTAAGATCATTTTCTTTCTGGTTCCATGAGGAATGTCATTGGTATTTTGATGGTAATTACATTAAATCCGTTTATTGCTTTTAATCTTCCCCTACATTTAATCTTTTCCCAAGTCTTGCAGATTATTTCTTAATTTCATTCAAATGTGTACCTTCATTTCCATATCTGCAGTCAGTACAGCCAGTTTAAATCCTCACTGCCACAACCTAGGTCATAAAGTACTTTTCAGGGCAGTTCTTTTGGCTTGTAATTCTATTCCTGTACAGGTTCATCTCAAAAAGAAGCTTGGGCAGTCTTTCAACCACTTTGCTGTCATGTAACTCACTTCTCACTTGTTCAAAGCATAATAGCCCTATTCCCTCACAATATCACATTATCAGACTTAATTTCTATAATCTTATGTGCTCAAGACCCTTCTCCAGCAACATCCTATTTTCTTCTCGCTGCTCCCTGAACATATAGCCAAAGTTCCAGTCCAGTTTTTTCTGAAATTCCCTGTCCAGGAATATTTTGCACTAAGCATTGTTCCCCCTGGAATGTCTCATTCACTCTTTCCAAAGACAGCATCTTACTATTCTTACAAATGCCCATGTAAGTAGTGGCAATCTGAGATAGATCATATCTGAGCCTGGTCCCTCCTCTACTTTGATATCTTCTCTCAGCACTCCCACTTTCAGGGAAATAGGACGCATGTTAAAAGACTGCTACCGGGGCTGGGATTTAGCTCAGTGGTTCCACCGCCTGCCTCACAAGCACAAGATTCAGAGTTCGATCCCCGGTAACAAAAAAACAAACCAACAACAACAAAAAAAGACTGCTACCAGTGATGGCCTCCATCACTCCAGTGACCCTTCCCCGCTTTCTGGCATAGGTACATCATGTTATGTCTCACCAGGAGAGCCATACGGCGTCTGATTTATGAGGTTCAGTGCTGAGGATGGATGCCATGTCTTTTTCAGCATAGGCAATATCCTGGACAGAATCCATCTATCGTATGAACAATTAAGATGAAGTAAGAGGTCAATCCAAGAATATTTTGACATTATATTTTAACGCATCCTTTCTGACAGTCATTCTGATGTAGCAGTTTTCACATCAAAATGGCACTTTTATTGGATCAAATAACTATATTCTTTATTGTTTCATTACTAATAACATGTTAAAGCAATATTCCCACCCTTACTATACCTTTCATTCTAAGTATGATGCATATTTTAAGCCCTAGTGTCAGAGGGTAAAATATTATGTCAAAGTGGTATTTCCATGTTGACAATTTTCTGATATCAAAATGACTGTGGCATGGGCCGGGGATTTAGCTCAGTGGTTCGCTGGCCTGCCTTGCAAGTACAAGCACCGGAGTTCAATCCCTGGTACCCAAAAAAAAAAAAAAAAAAAAAAAAAAAAAAGACTGTGCCAAAGCAGCCAGGACCAAATGCCATGACACAATTACAATTTTGAGATGACCTGGAGAGCACTGTATAAGACAGAGCTCTAAGGAAACAGCACTAGCATATTCATGGGTCTCAATCTGTTACCAAAGACACCCAAAAGGAATGATGGCTCAGTACACAGAGTTCCCAATAAAGAATTCTTTACAGGTAGACTCATAAGTTACTACAATTTCTAATAAAGAATGTTTCAATGAACTTAGCAGGGATGCATACTTAGGCCCCTATGCAATGACTTAAATTGCCTAATGCTCCAGTGTCTATTATAGGCCAAGCCTTGGAATGAGTGCTCCTCTATCCTTTAGACGTAGAAGCAAAGTTGTAATGAAAAGAATATGGCTCAGAGTTTCAACAGTATGACCCCTGGTAGTTTGCAGAGTGATTAACACATAGTAGATATTCAATTCAGTTTTGGATTTCTTCAAGGAAAATCCCTCACAGACAGCTAATTTATCCTTTACCCTGTGGTACACCATCATGTGGTACACCACACCCCATAATTGCTCTGTTAACAGATAACTTACTTCACCCTGGAAATTAAAAAAAAAAAATGTTGTGGCTTGAAAGGATAGATCTCTTTTCTCTCTGACAGAAAAAGAAAGTCATGTGAGAATTTCATGTTGAAAAGATCATTTTCTTGTTCATTTATTAGTTCACTTATTTGTTGCTTCCTTCCCCAACCCACCTCCCATTAAAATGCCAGTTGCATGAGAGCCTAGACATTGCTTATATTCATTAACATTGCTCCATTACTTTGCACAATGATTAGCACATAATAGATATTCAATAAATCATTATTAAAAATATAATTCTTTTCAACTAGGATAATAGGGCCTTTAGGACTACCATACAAAAAGGAATGATAAGCCCATTCCAAAACAATTTTTTGATTAGCTATGCTTTTCTCTGGGCCTTTTACTGCTCTGAATCCCTGCCAGGGAAGAAATGCTAAAGCCATTTTAAAATATGTAGATCCCTGACATTTGCTTGCTTCATGAATTTTGCATTGCATAATGACAAGTGTTTAATTTTATAAACTGTTCCTGTAATAGATCATTTTCAAGGAGAGGTATAATCTGGAAATGCAGTGTAAAGTGCTGTTGCCGAATTAGACAAATGTCTCCCTGAGCCAGGGATCCTTTCTGTAGTAAATGTTTTCGAGCATTGACGGATTGGAAGCCATAGAAATATTCTCAACACCCAGCTGGCTGACTGAGTCAGAAATGAGATGGTCCGTGGATGCTTCTTTCCTCTAGACGGTGTGTAGCCACCTTCAAAAACTCTCAGGCATGGAGTAAACACCAATGATTGGCTTTTATCCTGAGGCCCAAGTGGCCTTACTCTGTTTTATTTCTAGTTTTTTCTTTATCACCACAAAATTTAAAAGGAAGCAGTGAGGAAAAGAAAGTACTATTTCTGGATTCTAAACCACAGAGTTTTGTGCTTTATGGTATACCTCAAGCATGCAAGACCATCAAGCCACACACACACACACCCACACACACCCACACACACACCCACACACACACACACACACACACACACACACAATCTTCATTGTGATTTAAGATTGATCGGAGAAGCCACACTAATGTGTCAAGATGTGCATATTCCATGCTTTCTGAATGATGTTTTTGTCATTGTTTGGCCTCAGCAAACTCACTCATCCTCTCTATTCCTTAGTTTTCTTGTCCCAAAATATGCTTAAAGGTTTTCAGTATTTAGCAGAATTCTGATTAAGGAAAACTAAGATAAATCTTCAAAATTATAGGGTTGTAAAAGCTATACCACTGTAAAGAAATGAGTCTGGCTTCATAAATTATATACAAAGATTTTTCACTGCATGTATTTCAAACAAGATAATCCATACTGTGAAGCTACTGTATAAATTCAATAGAAACACCAAGAAGAAAATGTGGTCTGACAAGGTTTAAAGATACAAATTCATAAGAAACATGAGCCAGATACATTTCACATGACTTATAAAGAAAAGAACTGCACCAAAGAGACTTGCTTTCAGTTACAGCCACTCTTCAAGGAGATCTCTCAGTCAATAAGTCAACCCTATGTAGAAGACAAATATGGACAAGAATCAGGAAACCTGAATTGAAATAACATTTATGGAGTAGCTATTGCATTTCAGGCATTCGATAAGCATGCTATGAAGATGATTTCATTCAATCCTTAAAACAACTGTATAAGGTAAATAATGATAGTGTTTTTTCTATACTTCATTAATGACTGAAGTAAGTTTTACACAGGTTGTGAAACATACTGAGTCAGGCAGCTGGGATTCAAACTTCAGAAGTCAAATTCTTATGCTTTATACCATGCTATCTCCTGGGAAGATAATTGCTAGCAAGGCACACTCAATTCTCACAGTTTGAGCTAATTTGACGATTTCTAAAGTTTTTTTCTATATAATATGAAGTTTATTTAATATTCCACTAAGTTGGGTAAACCACTCTGCTTCCTTGAAGAATATACCAATAAATATTTATTTGATTAGAAATACATATGTGCATATCTTTCAGTACCCCATGTCCCCACCTTTGGTTGACAGCCCGTCTGTATCAAACTAATGCTTCGCACAGCACAGCATTGATTAACTGCTCCATGAATGAAACTGGCCAGAAATAGTGTGGGGGTTGTTTTTTGTTTTGTTTTTGTTTTTTTGCTCACTGTGATAATACCAAACTCATACTAGCCAGATTTGAATGAACTTTCCCGTTTCCAAAACTCATTCTTCTCTTATTTAGATGATTCCCTCACCTGGCATTCATACAATCTGTTCCAAAGATAACGTTTGTCTAAGTGACTTACATATTTGCAAGAGTGAAATATTAAGTCACTCACTCTAATTCCTTTGAGATCTATCTGTCCCATTATGTTGAGTAGTATTTGTTTTGCAAAATTTTGTACACCAGTATTTGATGCATACATATTCATGACTGTTATCTTGATGACTTGTTCCCTTTACCAACATGTAGTGGTCTTCTTTGTCTAATTTTGACTTAAAGTCTGTTTTATCAGGTGTCCAGATGGTTATTCGTGCTTGCTTTTGAATTCTATTTGCATGAAATACAGTTTTCTGTCCTTGCACTTTCCCTCTGTGTATGTATTTACAGTTGGTGTTTCTTTCAGGCAATATAAAGTTGGGTCTTTTTCTTTAACCCAATCCACTGATTTCTGTTTTTTGATTAGAGAATGAAGAACACTTACATTCATGATTATTACTGAAAAGTATATACTAAATCCAGTCATTTTTTATGCTTTATTCCTTCATAATACTCATTTGCTTGTCCATTCTTCATCTCCTGTATGTGGTGTTCTTTTAAATATTCAAAAGACTTAACTTTTCTGAGACCGTTATTCCTAGAAACCTTTTCCACTTGACAGAGTTTCTTTAAATTTTCACTTTTATTTTCTCTTTTTGTCTATTTAAAGGGAAATAGTATTCATTGTTCTTTTCAAAGAAACTTTCCCTGTCTGCTTCTTCAGTGGAAATCTATTCTATCATTTCTCCTTTCTCTTATGCTTTCCACCCCTTAATCTACTCATCTTTTTGTCTAGGGACTTTGAGTTAGGGGATAGTAGCAGACCTGGATATGAACTAACAATATTGGTGATCTCTTATGTGATATATATTACTGTATTAAACAATTCACACAAACTGTATTCATTTAATCTTCACAGAAATCTCAAAGAATCGATTTTATTATTTGCATTGTATACAATAGAAAATTATGCTTTAAATACATTAAGTAACTTGGCAAAGGTAACATAGAAAATAAATGGTTCACACCAGAATTTAAACCAAGTTTGATTATAAATTGCAAGTTCTTCCTGCCATACTCACTTGTTTCTTGTTTTAACAAACTTTTAAAATTTTATTTGTATTTTATTAGTACATATTTGCAGTACATGAAGTTTACATTCTTGGAGAGTAGGTACATGTAAGGAACACAGCTTGTTTTTTCTTTTTTCCTAATCTTATTTTCCTTCCCACCCATTTCCTCCCTCCATCTCTAACTCCCTGGTCTTCATTTTCATTCTTGTTCTTATTATTCTTAGATCATGTTTATGTAATATACATTCATTGTAGGTATTTAGTACCTGTGCATGGCCTATCATATATCTTCTTACTTTTCCTTCCCTTCTCCTTTTCCTCCCTCACCCTAGGTTTCCTGGACCTTTTCCCAGTTGAAAGAGATCTGCCCCCTTGTTTCCTTCTACCCATCCTTTATTTTGCTTTTTGTTTCTACTTAACAATACTCAAGTGAGAGACACCATATAGTGTTTGAGCTTGTGTGTCTGATTTATTATACTTAACATTATATTTTCCAGATATCAAATTTCCTACAAATGTCTAAAATCTATCCTTCTTTATAGCACAGTAGTATTCAATTGTATACACCCAAGTTTTCTCTATCAGTTTCTCCGTTGATAGACATACAGGCTGCTTATGCCTGTATACTTTCACTATTATGAATTGTACTGTTATGAACAATGGATTCATGTATCACTGTAATATGATGT